AATACTAAAAATCTGGTATATTGTCAGTATAAAGTCTGACAGTTCAAGGATGCTATCAAGCATTTTAAAATGTATTTCATTTATTTGTATTAATATACTTTAAATCAAGTTAACAACAGTAGCAGTTACCAAAACTATATAATTTTTTTGTCTATATCATTCAGAAAGGCTATTGTTGTTTGACTATTTTTATTAATATTCTCCTTCATAACGGCTCATTAGTCATCAAATTCTCACCAAATCTTGCCACAAAAAAAAAAGCCTCACACGCAGATCATTTCAGTTTTGATGTGACCGAAAATAATGTTGTGAGTGAGGCAAAAAGATGCTTTGTTCTGAAATGTTATCTGTTGATGTCTCTGTTAGACAGCATTACTTCAGAAATATCTATTTAAATGATTTTTATTTGTTATTAAGAGTTATTAAAATATGAAAATATTATGCACACTACCACTCAAAAGTTTGGGGTCAGTAAGAAATCTTTTTTTAAAGACATTAATACTTTTACTCACCAAGGATGAATTAATCAAAAGTGACAGTGAAGACTTTTACAATGTAACAATAAAAATCTATTTAAATATATTCCTAGAATCCTGATCAAATGTATCAACTTCCACAAAAATATTAATTATCTGTTTTTAACATTGATATTAATAATTAATGCTTCTTGAGCATCAAATCAGCATATTAGTATGGTTTCTGAAGGATCATGTGACAGTCTGAAATGGAAAAAATAATTTTATATTCCACAATTTATTTTCAGCTGTAATAATAATTCATAATATTGCTGTTTTACTCAATTTTTTTTATCAAATAAATGCAGCCTTGGTGAGAAGAAAAAATTCAGATGTTTCCATTTATAATGACTAAATATTTGCACACTAAAGCAAAATTAAAAAGATTAAAATCTTTTTTCTTACAATATCCTTAATGTGGCAATTTTCCTTTTCCCACTGAGCAAAGCACTTTATTAGAACATACAGGAGCAAATAACATACCGCCTCCACTATAAATGGTGTAAACGCGTATTCAACATGACTCACTTTCTGCAATAGAAGCAGCCCCCAGTTTTTGTGAGTTACAATTATGTTAGCGGCAGAGAAATGTGTGCTACGCTGAATAACAGACAAGCACATACGAGGTAACTGCTGACAGTAGAGTGTGGAGAAGTCAAGCAAGCCTTTTACACATTTCTCATATTCATTATGAGTGTGTACTGTTAGGTGTGGGCTGAAGAGTTGAGCATATTATGAGGGTCAGGAATACAGCACTCCTTCATTTCACCTCATCAGCTCTACAGAGAGAACCGTGGGTCTATGCAGCGCATACATCTCATACTAATGAATCTAATGCGCATGAGCCCATAGACATTTCCACACACACTTGCTTAGAAATGTAATAAGTATAAAGTATATAATAATAGTATATAATTATTATATATAATACATATAATATTATATGTGTATATACACACACACACACACACATTAACACAAATTTGCTTATTTTGAATATTTCTTTCCCAGAATTTCAATTAGTCTCAGATCTGTATTTAAACATTTTACTCATCAAAATTGTAAGTAATATTGAATAGTATATACTGCAGTATATTTTATATATATATATATATATATATATATACACACACACACACATACATTTATAACAAAAATAATTTTAGAATTTCTAACACGTCAAGTGAATCCACAAAGGTCATGGTAAGTGGAATGTGACAAGGGTGTCTCTTGCCCTTTTGTGCTGCTGTGAGTAATAGTTATGATTGGTGTTGGAGAAGGTCCTAGAAAAGCATTAAACACATTTATTGAGCATGAACAATAAGGAAGAAGCTTGTTTCCAGAATATTCAGAATGATTTAAGGACAATCAACTTTTAAGAGGTGCCCAGTGTCAGCAATTCTCACACCCCGTGAGAGATTTTATAATGCAGCTTGCTTCAGGCAAAGGTACAGTACAGCATAACAGCAGCAGTAAAGCCCAGTGGTGGAAGTGGCTTAGAGATTGAAAAATGACTCCAAGATACTCTCAATTTCCAGCCTTTACATCACAAGTAAATGGATTTTGATGTGTTTGAAGTGTGTGCACACATATAATAAGAGTTAGAGGATCACAGGACCTGACAGAAATACTTTTCTTTCTCTTTTTCTTTCTCTCTCACACATACAGCTGTTTTTAAGTGTAAGGTATAACTCAATAGCATGCATATGCTTGACAACACAAACAGAGCTATCAGTCCCTTTATTGACAGTGGCAGTTGCCTTAGCACCTTCCATTTGCCATTAGCTTCTCTTATATCACCATTAAGAAGCAGATATCAGAAGCTCTGGCATGATGCCCTATATAAAGCCTGATCAGCATTTGTATACGTGTCTGTGTGAGTGGTATGGGACCTGCAGATCACAGTTTTAGAAATGCTGCCTCCAGGCAAAGAAACACAAGCTATTGCAGTCTTCATAACTGCTAGATCAGGTCGAGTGTTAAGGAAACTTTTAGCTTTTTTTTTTTAAATCACTTTCCAGAACATTCTCGTTCACCATTCCTGGCTGGTGGAACGATCTTCCCACCCCTATCCGGAATGCTGAATCCCTGACAATTTTCAAGCGACAGCTGAAAACTCATCTCTTTCGAAGCTACTTGACTTCATCATAAAAAAAAAAATTTAAAAAAAGTTTCTCTCTCTTTATTTATTCCTTCTCTTTCTAGCTTGTACTTATTTGAACAATGTCTAAGAACTTGGTATTACAACCACTTCTTGTGTCTGTTTGCCTCTTTAAGAAGAATCGCTTTATGTATCCCCCAATTGTAAGTCGCTTTGGATAAAAGCGTCTGCTAAATGACTAAATGTAAATGTAAATGTTATAATCAATAACAATTTTCTTCCAACATTCTTAGAAATCAGGATTTTCTGATTAAGTGAAAGATCAAAAGAACAGCATTATTGCTGACCCCAAACTTTTTAAAGGTAGTGTACAATTATGATTTTGTGATGACACTCATGTGCACTTAACTTGCAAATATAATTTCTATTTGACATGAAAGTACCACTGTATAGCAAATATTTCATAAGGCTTGCATAATACTTTTTTATACTAGTTTTCATTGTACACCATGTAGTCTTTTACACACACACATACACACTAATACACAAAGTAGGACAGGACAGAACTGTTGACTCTGCTCATTATCTGTGGAAGCTGTGAGTCTATTCCTGTTGAACCATCTTTTAGCTGATTCTAAAATGATATGTGATATTCCCATGCATTTTAACGGCATGTTTAATGGATGTAATGGAAGTCTGACAGTGATTTTCTTTATTATACTATAGCCCATCTATTCCTCAAGCACATCAAAAGGTTCAAAGCAGATGATTCCATTTAGGAAATCTCATGGTTTCCGTCACTCTCTCCCACTTTATCTCTCACTCTCATACGTTTATTTTCCTGGTGTCTCCTTATCTCTGTCTCTCTTGCATGCACATAGATGGATAAACACTGGCAGACACACATATTGTAAATATATAAACACATGCAATTATGCATTTTTTGTGTGGGTTTGAAAGGAGACAAAACACAAATTCTAACAATGCTTCTGTAAAATGCAAGAGAACAGGGCCCGATATAATATCCGCTTGTATTAACATTATGACAACACATTTCTCTGCTTTTCATTGCTACTGCTTTCTTCCTCACTTTCTGTCACCCTCCCTCTATTTAATTAATTTTCTGTCTCTCTCTTTATTTATCTATCTCTCTATTTATACCCACTGCAAATATTCCTGTCTGTACTGTAAGCAGGAGTCAAGAAACTGTTTTAAGATTAGTTTTCACATAATATATCTTACAATAGCTTTTTTCTTGTTTTAAGCATAAACCTCACCTCACTAAACTGTTATATTATTGAAAGAAAAAAATGTGACAAGCAAATTATGTTTCTGTCCAACAATATGTCCGTATTGAGCAATGCTGCAATCTTTAGTATAAACTAGTGCTGTCAAACGATTAATCGCGATTAGTCGCATCCAAAATAAAAGTTTATGTTTGCATAATATATGTATCCGTGCTGTGTATATTTATTATGTATATATAAATACAGACACATGCATGTATATATTTCAGAAAAATAGGTTATGTTTATATATTAAATATATTTATTTATAGTATAAATTATATGAATATATAGACATGTAAATACATGTAAATATTTTCAAAATATATACTGTATGTGTGTGTATTTATATATACATAATAAATATACACAGAACACTCCCATATATTATGCAAACTAAATTTTTTATTTTGTATGCGATTAATCGCGATTAATCTTTTGACAGCACTAGTATAAACATGAATGGAAATGGGTGATTTCCGAGTACAGGCCGGTGATGAGGGGTATGTACGTCAATTTCAATAGATATTAGTGCAGCACATAACAGCACAATCACTTTAGTGAAATTTCATAGGCAAAAAAAGGCCATTGTCTGTCATCAATAGTGTAGCGAAGTATGAAGCAGCTCACACAGAAGTCACTTTCAAACCAACCAGCTTTCTGTTAGTCAACAGTAAACGTGACCAAGTACACAAAGAACAGTGGTGCTAACGTGGCATTTTGACTCACTTTAACACATAGCAAAGCACCCAGGAGTGTCTGAAAAAAAAGTAAATGTAGCTCGCTGATAATTTTCCAAGTGTTCCAATTAGTTGATAAGTTGCTGAAAAACAACAACCAATGTACTGATTTCACTCAATAGAATATGAATTAAATTTAGGGATGCACAGAAATGAAAATTCTGGACTGAAACCGAAACTGCTTTTTAAAAATTATTATTTTATTAAATAATATAAAATAATTTTGTAAGACTTTTTCAATCATTTTAATGATACTGAATTTTAAAAATACCAGCCAATTGTCATGTCTGTTTTTAATTTAATTTTATGTTCTTGTTTTCATGTCTTTTATTTTGATGTTTAGCCGTGTTTCATGTACCTGTCATGTGTTTCCCTTGTTTCCTCATGCGATCAGAGAAGGGAGATGAGAGGGTCTGTATTACTTCCTATTGGAGAAAGAGTAACGGTCAACTTGGATCACGTGTGCCTTAATAACCAATCACATTATAGCCTTGACATCACTGAATTTCAGTCAGAGTTGTGCAACACTCAATCTCCATTTATGGATACCATAGGAATGAATGAGAAATGCCGTAAGCTGAATCCCACGAACTCCATTCAGTCATCACACACTTCAGCTCTATACACATGCACACAATTCTCAACACACTACCCCCTATCCATTAGCAGAAACACACACACTCCCTGACAAACTAACACATACTGCTCCATTAGCTCCACTCATACCAAACCAGAGACATACAGTATACTTCACTCATGTCATAACAGTCTCGTAACAGTGAGGAAGTTGAAAGCTTAATCGCAGCAAGCTGCAAATTGCTTGAAAACAGCATTAATAACACCTGAGCTCTACAGGGGGATACAGATGCAGCAGTGTGTACAAATACAGACACTTGAGCACAGCAGGACGTGACAGAACAGAAACACACATCACCAACTTCCTGAAATTTACCAGCCTCTCAGCTTATTATCGCTAACAATGGTCAGAACAGAGAGACAGGGGACAGTGACAGATCGAATGCCCTATATAACCATCTCCAAACTGGAAAAGGGCCTGTAAGCACAGAAAAAATAACACGAATATGTTGCAGAAAAGACAAGCCAGCATTTATATGGTGAGACTTCAGCACATGGATGTGATAATGATTCCCACTGTGATGTTCCTCAAGCTGTTAATTAGTAAATGTGTACATGCTGAGGATAACCACATGTAAAAGACAACAACAGCACAGCAGGGAGAAAAGCAAGATCTAAAGACTGAAGGCTTAAAGGAATAGTTCACCTAAAAATTTAAATTTGCTGAAAATCTACTCACCCTACGTCTGTCCAAGATGTAGATAAGTTTGTGTTTTCATCAGAACAGGTTTGGAGAATTGTAGCATTGTATCACTTGCTCACCAATGGATCCTCTGCATTGAATGGGTGCCGTCAGAATGAGAGTCCAAACAGCTGATCAAAACATCACAATAATCCACAAGTAATACACACCGCTCCGGTCCATCAGTTAACATCTTGTGAAGTGAAAAGCTGCGTGTTTGTAAAAAACAAATCCATCATTATAGCATTTTAACTCTAAACTGTCGCTTCTGGACAAAATACCAGACCATAATCCATAATAGTTCCAAATTCTTCCAGTAAAAAAAGAAAAAGAAAAAAGTCCATCCTCTGAAGTCATCTCACATCAAAATGTAATAACATATTTATTTAGAACCATTTTGGACTGTACTTGAAACGGTGCTTGATCTGTGCATACTTCTCTCCTGATTCAGACAAGATGACTTTTTCACTGTAGCAATATTATAGAGGACTCGTATTTTAACTAGATGCAACGGTTTGAAGTTAAAAACGTCTTAATGTTAGACTTGTTTATTACAAACTTGCTAAAGATTGTGGATTACTTACATCTCTTGTGGATTATTGTGACGTTTTTCTGACGGCACCCATTCACTACAGAGGATCCTGCAAATGTTATAATGCTAGCGTTCTCCAAATCTGTTCCGATGAAGAAACAAACTCATCTACGTCTTGGATGGCCTAAGGGTGAGTACATTTTCAGCTAACTTTCATTTTTGGGTATATGATTCCTTTAAGATCTAACTAGGAAAGCAATACACATTTTTCACACAGAACAGTGTGTACATCCTTGGAAGTGGATTAAAAAAATCAGCTGAACTGAAATCTCTTTTGAGTTTTCTCTTAAACGCTTAAGGTTAGGATATGGTTAGTGGGGCACACGAGGAAAGAACTGAAAAGTTTTTCCCTAAAATGTGCAAAGGGGTCAGACTCATGGGGGCACGAAACGAGATATGTTTCTTATAGTAGAGTGCACTCTTACTTTAACTCTCCCTTGAAACACACTATATGCCTGTAAAAGCTTAAAGAGCCAAGATGGGATAGTTACCTTGTTCGGCTTATTGCCTAATGGAAACACATTAGTTCTGATTCTTAGATATCTCAAGCATGATACTAAATATGGATTTTACAACAGCAAGTAACCTCCAAAATATTGTCTACAAGTGTGTTTTGTGCTTGTTCTGATCCACTTTCAATAGCATTTCCCAGAAATTGCTTACTGCACCTTTAAGACAACAAAATATAAACCCAGGTACTTTGTTTCAAAGCTCAACATGTCCTCATTAAAGCAAAAAAGAATAAAGTAAAGTCTATCAGTTTCCAAATTACACCTGATTTGGTATTCTGTTTTCAATGCTCTGAAACCCATACATTTTAAGTCTGGTCCAAAAACATTTGATGTCCTTCATATTTACGGTTCAGTACAAATACATATAGCAACCAAGCAAGAATACCGTGTGTGCCTCCTTCCATGTTGCGTACAAAAACCTCTCTCAACCTCTCTCAAAGTGTCTTTTCTGAAGCCAGTCCCACACCTTTCTCCACTGGACATGGCTTAAAGTCGCAGTGAAATGGGAGTAGGCTGCTGTTAGGGCCTTTAATTCTTTCCCTCAAACCCGACCAGTGGTGACCCACCACCGCAAACCCATTTCCATCCACTGAGAACTATAAACACCACGTCTGAGGGTTTGGGCAAGTAACAAATTCCTTTCAGACATCAGAACGTCTGCAGAGAGGATAGCACTGTTATCAACTGCTCTAAGTCTTTGGCTACACTTACAGTATTAAAGACAGTGAATCCTTCCCAGAATTCACTTACAGTACATAGCCTTCATCAAGTCCCCCACCCACGCACCAAAATGATACAATAATAAACAACCACAGTGTAATGAAAAGCAAAAGCAATGTGAATGAAACAATGTGGTGTGCATAAACCCATGCCACAAACCAGCAAAGAGCAGAAAACGGTCAGCCAATACAAACAGAATAAGCTGTGACAAACAAATTATATCAGGCTTAATAGTGAATACCAGAGGGAGAACACTGTCAACAACCTAAGCTAATACAGCACATCTAGTACAACAGTCATCATAAATTTACAATACAATTCAGTTATCAAATCTACAACAACAAAAAATGCAGCCTTGATGACCATAAGAGACTTCTTTCAAAAAACATTTAAAAAAAATGACTGATAAACATTGACACTTGTAGTTGTAAAAAAAAAAAATGGTTCAAAAGCATCCCCATCCAATTAGTACCACACCGTCTTCACTCCACACAACTCTCTTCACTCAACACAGGTAAAGGTGTTTTTGCTAATAGCAGCACCAATTGTACAAATACCACTCTATAGTGTAAACCTGAGCTGTGTGCTAAACCCTGTGGGTTGCATACAGTAAGAGCTCTCCGTAACTACACACATCACACACATCCTCCTCTGACCTAAAAACAAGGCTCTGGTCGCTCGCTACACGTACAATGACTCGAGAGAGAGAGAGAGAGAGAGAGAGAGATCGAGAGAGAGAGAGAGAGAGAAAGAGAGAGAGAGAGAGAGAGAGACATCCCAGATTATGGTTGAGCACTGCAATCACACAGGCAGCGGCACAGCACTCCTCCCCCAGCACACACTGTCACTCGTTCATCTGGCACTAGAGGACAGCCATATGTCCAGCAGTGGTGGTGGCTGCTTCGATCGCTCTGAAATTCAAGGAGGGATTTTGGTTGATTGAAAGCCTCGGCTGTCTCTGTGGTTATTGTTCATGTAATGTGTGTGTGTGTGTGTGTTTTTATACATTTCTTCAAATGTAAAGCCAGCACAACAGGTGCAGATTGGGAGGGGGTGGGATAGGCGTGACTCCAACATACAAGAAGCACCGTTAAAGGGGTCATATGGGGGCAATTTCAAGTTTTCCTTTCTCTTTGGAGTGTAACACGCTGTTCGTGCATAGATAAGATCCCTAAAGTTGCAAAGACTAAAGTCTCAAACCCAAAGAGATATTCTTTATAAAAGTTAAGACTCGCCTCGTTTAAACACGCCCCCACATGTCTACGTCACTGTGTGGGAAGATTTGCATAACACCGCCCAAATGTTCACGCAAAGAAAGAAGGCTTGAGAGAAACTTTGATTCTCGCTGTAGTATTGTTGCCGCCGCCGCCATGTCGTGAAGACACTGTGTTTCGTTGTGAAAGCGTCTTCCAAAAGAGACACAACTAGAAATCAGTGGTTACATTGTATTTACAACACTGTTCCAGAACAGTTCAACCCAAATATTCAGATGTGTGCTGCGCATTTTACGGAGGACTATTTCCTGAACCTGGGCGAGTAGCCTACAATGCCGTCTGTGCTCAAAGTTTGTTTCTATAAAGTGGGGCAATTCCAACTTTGCAGGGACAGTCTGAACCTTCTGACTCACAGCCTGTAAGTACGTTTTCATACATTGAATGGGTGCCGTCAGAATGAGAGTCCAAACAGCTGATCAAAACATCACAATAATCCACAAGTAATACACACCGCTCCGGTCCATCAGTTAACATCTTGTGAAGTGAAAAGCTGCGTGTTTGTAAAAAACAAATCCATCATTATAGCATTTTAACTCTAAACTGTCGCTTCTGGACAAAATACCAGACCATAATCCATAATAGTTCCAAATTCTTCCAGTAAAAAAAGAAAAAGAAAAAAGTCCATCCTCTGAAGTCATCTCACATCAAAATGTAATAACATATTTATTTAGAACCATTTTGGACTGTACTTGAAACGGTGCTTGATCTGTGCATACTTCTCTCCTGATTCAGACAAGATGACTTTTTCACTGTAGCAATATTATAGAGGACTCGTATTTTAACTAGATGCAACGGTTTGAAGTTAAAAACGTCTTAATGTTAGACTTGTTTATTACAAACTTGCTAAAGCTTGTGGATTACTTACATCTCTTGTGGATTATTGTGACGTTTTTCTGACGGCACCCATTCACTACAGAGGATCCTGCAAATGTTATAATGCTAGCGTTCTCCAAATCTGTTCCGATGAAGAAACAAACTCATCTACGTCTTGGATGGCCTAAGGGTGAGTACATTTTCAGCTAACTTTCATTTTTGGGTATATGATTCCTTTAAGATCTAACTAGGAAAGCAATACACATTTTTCACACAGAACAGTGTGTACATCCTTGGAAGTGGATTAAAAAAATCAGCTGAACTGAAATCTCTTTTGAGTTTTCTCTTAAACGCTTAAGGTTAGGATATGGTTAGTGGGGCACACGAGGAAAGAACTGAAAAGTTTTTCCCTAAAATGTGCAAAGGGGTCAGACTCATGGGGGCACGAAACGAGATATGTTTCTTATAGTAGAGTGCACTCTTACTTTAACTCTC